TACTAGTTAAAGGTTTGGCTGAACAATATTTTTTGGAAACCATTATTAGCGAAATATACCTTTCAAATTAAAGAAACAGTGATGATAAAGCTAAACAGTTTAGCAATTGTATAATTTTAAAATTGCTGAATTGAAAACCCATTAACCTTTTCTATTTCAAATTTAGATATAGAATTTATATATCCTGTTTCAATTTCTTTCTCAGAAAAAGTCCTTCCACCAACTACCAGTGTCAACCTGAAACTGCAGTATAACTTACAGTCATGTCCATCAAATGATGAAGAGAAAGAAAATATAAGAAAAAACTTTATAAAAAGTCTATCATCGCTGAGGTTTATGAGAACATTATGTAGAACTCACAATGCTTGCAGAGATTTAACAGTGCGCATTGACTGTCGTAGCTTGGCATCCACCAGGAGTAGGAGAAGCTTGAGTGAGGATAAAGTTATTTCCATCAACTTCGATGTTGAAGTACCATATGTGGTCCTAAATGAAAATTACACTTGTGAGGTTGTGTACATATTATCATCTGAACACTTTAAAAATATTTTATGTGTTTGTACTGTATTAAACAAAAATCAGTTTTTGTTTTTCAAATTTATTTACATTCTCAATGTATTAGATGTCTCTCTTACATAAAAATTCTCACTTTGTTTTGTTTTATTATATATAAATATTTCAATACTGTTATATAGTAAATCTTTTTTGGTTTGCATTTTGTATTATATCTTTGATAAGGCCTACATTAACTATTTGCATTGTCTATTGTGAAAACTTTTTAAATCTACTGTGTAAGGCTGTGGCCTCAACGTATTGAAAAATCTTCATATACTTATGTAGTTCTTTTTGTATGGTTTTTGGGATATTTTTGTTATTTTCTCTTTAATACTTGTTTATATTCTTGTTTTGAATTCTGACTATTCTTAATTGAAACTTCTGTTTCATGAAAGGATTATTTCCAGTTTTTTCTACTGTCTTTGGTATTCTTAGAGATTTTTCTTAACTATACATTAAATCGCTAGATTTCTTGCTGGATATTGGAGCTGTGGTGGGCCAGACATGTGGAACTATTTGTCTGGGTCCTCTTTCTCTGAAGCTCCCCAGTAGGTTAGCATTAATCTGGAGTTTGATTCCCTGTGGCAGACAGAGTGCAGATATCATATTATGTTGTTTTGCACTAAACTAATGAAACAAGCAAACCACAATTACTGAACTAGGATTTATTATACAAGAAATATTTTGTTGATTTGAGGGGATTTAGGCTAACCTTAGTTTAATATTTGTATCTAGATTAGTTTTTTATATTTTATACGAAGATGGTACTTTAATAAGTATGTTATTGGCTCTTAGAGAAAGTTGTCTTCTACCTCCATGAGTCTGAGGGCTAATAATGCTAAAAATTAAGTTTCAATAACCTTGGTTGTCAGAGCACAAATAGCTCATTGTGTAGCTTTGTACTTAACAACAAACAAAAAAATCATTATTTTTTTATTATTGGAATTTGAGTCAATCTTAATTTTGAGATCATAGTAGAAAGACGTTTTCTTGAAACATGTAAATCTTGTTCAGACATGTCTCTAAAAACCTAAAACTAATGTTCCTTTCCCTATTCTAAATGATATTGTTGATATTTCTAACTTACTGGAATCTCAAGAAGAGCCTTCCATCCAGCTTCTCTCAATTGTTTTTTTAGTTATCAATCTACCATCAAAACCAAGTTTTTCATAGTCTTTTATTATTATCTGTTGGTTGTTTTAACTTCCATTCTTGTATTCTATCTGGAATGTAAAATTAGTTATTTTCTCCAATCAGTTTCATTGTGTTCTGTTATCTTAATAGAAAGCTTTTGAATTTGTGGAGTTCCTATCTTCAAATTTTTCCAGTTTCTTTGTTTTTTCAAAAAATGTAAGAGAGTAGAGGCCTGTGGAGAAATCATTGCCATTTATAACTTGTTGATTGATAATTAAGAGCTTTGTGTCACATCTGGACCCACTTTCCAGGTCAGGGTTTGTTGATTTCCTTTCAAAGGTCTGCTCATACTGTTTCATCTATTCTGCTTTGTCTGTCAACCAGGGAGGCCTCTTTTTCTGTTAAGGATCTTTTGTTTTTTCCAGCAGAATCTTCAAATTCATTGTTATAAATTTGATTCTTTTTGTCATCAGTGCAAAATTTTCAAATGTTGGGGCAGGTATGAGTTTATACTTGGAAATGTGTTGAATGTGATTATGCAAATGCCTCTCTTCACTTTCTTAGGCTGTTTTATCTTATAATTTCATTATTTCCTCCTCTAATTTTCATTTTTGAGACCTTGTTTTACTGTTTAACTAACAGTTACATATTTATTAAATCCACCTTCACCTACATATGTAAATATATATATATATATAATTTTCAATCTTCCCTCTGTACATTTTCATAAAATCTTCTTTTTGTTTCTATTAATTTTGGGTCATCATTGCTTTGAGCTATACACAGGTAATGCTTCCCTCAGTCCTTTTCAATGATAAAGAGTTTTTTTACTATAACTGTTCCTTGTTTTACCAAGACTGAGGAGATGAATTTTTCAGTAAAGTACTTTCTTATTTTAAAATTAATGAATATATGCAGGCTACTAGCCTTTTGATTATATTAATTGCAGCAATTGGTTGCTGTCATTTGATAGGATGATGGGTAGACCTCTGTATGACTATACCCCATCTTTTTCCTTCTACTTCTGACTGTTCCAACTGATTATTGTTTTTTTGTAACCTTATTTAATGTTTTGCTTTGTTTTAGTAAGTTCCATTCCTTTACTTCTAATGTAATTACAATTTTCAGTTTTTTATGCTAAACTGCAGGGACTTCTTAACCTTGATGATTCTACCCTTATGTGGTTGTCTCTCTTGTTTTTTCTGGTACAAATCTTTGAAGCTTTACATTATTTATCTAGGTCTCGAGCTTATTGACCTTAGATATACTGCAGTGTGAGCTGTTTATGACTTTCACATATTAAGCATGTTTTCATTTTAAGTTGTCTTCATGCTTTGTATAACTTGTGCTTGAACTCTTATTTCAGGATATTCTTTCTTAGGCTTTGTGGTTATAACATAAGTAGAATGAAGTTTGAACTGACCATTCTATTCACAGCATAGATCAGTTGTTTTTTAATTTCTATGGCTTGTTTTACACAGCTGTTATTTTTATTTAATTATAGGCAGTGATTTGTAATTGTTTATTCTTAAAGAATGACAAGTTTTGTGTTTCTCCTTGAGGAACCAAATGGAAAATTTTACATAACTACATACAACTTTGTTTGACTTTTATGTTGAATATTTGTTATTTATACTATTGTTTCAGAATTGTACTGAGGATTCCTATCAGAACATAAGCAGCATATTAAGGATTGCTGAGACAGATATCAGTTCCACCCTGAAAACAGCAATAGAAGAAGTTCTACCTGATTCCTCACCTCAGCCAACTTTTATTCATTATGAACTGACTCCTCACTGTTCTGAAGGTCAAGTTTTGAGAAAAGACAGCTGTGGTATGTAAATATTGAGATGTATACACCTGATCTATGGACCTTATATTAACAGTGTTTAACATGCTGCTGTTGTTCTAATAAACATATAGTATAAAGGACAGCTGTGGTATGTAAAGAATGAGATTTATATATTTGATCTATGGACCTTATATTTAGAGTGCTTAACATGCTGTTGTTGTTCTAATAAACGTATAGTATAATGGACAACTGTATTAGGGTATTTATACATCTATAGATGTTATATTAACAGTGATCAACATGCAGCTGTTGTTGTAATAAAGTATGCAGATCAGCTGTGTTGAGGTATTTATAAGTTTGATCTATGGACCTTGTATTAGGTCTTCAAGAAATTAATGTCACTATTTTTTAGATGAAAAAAAACCGAACAACTTATATATATATCAAAACAAAACATTTATTAAATGAAATAGTCTCTATTCTTATCGATGATGCTTTTCCATCTTATAATCAGGTTGTTAATGCCCTGATTAAAGAAACCACTTGGCTTTGAAGCAAAAAACGTTTCAATGTCCTCTTTAACATCTTCCACATTTGTATATGTTTTCCCATTAAGATGGTGTTACAGTGAATGAAAAAGATGGTAATCTGATGGTGTCATACCTGGAGAATATGGTGGGTGGGGGAGATTTTCCCGACT